GAAGGCATGCGTACTTGTCAAACCGTCAGTGTAATTGATCAGCGTGTAGTCCACCTATCATCAGATGCTAGTGATAAAGCGGAGCTGATAGTAAAAGACAGCAGTGGTGGTGGTCTTGCAGGTAGACAAATTTCTGAAAGTCGAGCAACAACAGCTTTTGATCCACCGCTAACTTCATCAACTGGTATCAATCAGTCGTTGTTGGTGCTGTCATCCACAATGAAACAGACGCCAATCAACTCAAGTATCTTGTGCAATGACTATGCTAGTATCAGTTCGTTTGAAAGAACGAATATCAATGGGCAGTTTAGTGTGGATAAGCCAAGTGTAAAGGAGAGAGTAATTGTTAAATTGACTTGCACGAATAAAGAGATTTCTAGTTTCAAGTTACTATTTGAATGTTATTATCTTTGGTGTAAATTACTCTGTTTTTACACTTGGATGATGAGATATGTCGTGTGTTTGTTGGTCATCTATATTCTACGATACAATGACATGAGCGTGTCACCGTTCAGATTTGAGGATATAGCTGATAGAGGGAAGTTAGCAAATGAACTCTGCAACGATTTTCCAACCTAGAGCGTCAACCTGAGAAGGGTTGTAGGCGTACTGTTGTAAGTCCTGCGATTCTTCAAAGTAATTCCACCAAGACATGATCTGCGAGTTTGTGTGTACTATTTGTGTATACGTGTGGTGTGTCATAGCAATTGGTGTATTTTGGATTCATTGTGTTTACTTGTTGTTTTCGTATCTTGTTGTTATTGCGTAATTTTGTTAAAATTTTCGTCGTGATTACTTCTGAAGTTGTTTCGAGTCTTCTACATCCATGAATGAATTGATTGATGTTAAGGACAGCAGATGGGGCGTATACGCCGGGGAGGCTAGGCTATTGCTGAGAATGAAATGCATACAGAGATAATTGTTAGCTGCGGTCCCACACGCCGGAAAGCGAGAGTGTAAACGACTGAGGCTCGAATGCGTCACCGCTACGAGAACTGAGGCAGAATGAGTGACAAGCGATTTCAGTGGTAATTGGTAATGAGTAGATAAGAGGATGTGCGTAGAGTATCATCAGGTGGTGCTATGGTCACGTTGCATTCTGCAAGAGTCATTCTAGCAAGTGGCGATTGTGTTGCAAGATGTCAAGAGGAGGTCTTTGTCTGGAGGCGCAGGTCGTCAGCGATGTGTGAGATTGTGCTGTGGGTATGCTTGTGGTGTGTTGGCTTTTCTGTTTGTTTTCCATTTCAGCTCTGTCCGTGTGACCCAGGTTCTCGCAATGGCATCCAAGTCAACGTGTATTGGTCGTGATGGAAAAAAGGGATGGATCCCATTTTTGCCGGGGAGTGTCAATGTAGTTGAAGATTGAACGATCAATTCATGGTTGTTTGCTCAAATCCAACTTCCCTATATTTTCGCGGAGACATCGATACACCAGTCATCGTCTCATCGGTCGCTGTTCAGAAAGAAGTCAGGCCAAAACTATCAGAAGTAATATTGTGATTTATTATTGTAATATTTGTTCATAGACCTTAGTTAAAACTTAGTTTAAAGTTGCCTATATGTTGGTGTTAGAATAAATAATTCTCGAGTAGCCAATTGGTGTTTTGGTTTTGCGTCCGTTATTACCAAGCGTTTCTGAGAAACTTCAAGGAACAGCGTGAGTCCCAGCGTAGCGAGAGCTGGGCATTGACGGTTTATGAGACGTGGCTGACAGACACAGAGAATATCTTAATATGACTTGGTTAATCAATACACTACTTCTCCATATTTACACTACAGCTGTACGTGAGAACTCAGGGCGAAGCCAACGCTACTAGTTACTCTATTATTTAGATCTACGCATTCAGCCACTTGGTCTCTTTTCCGTATCGTACTCATAACATCTGGTCTCAGGTACATTGCCATTACAAATATTTTTCCTGTCCCGCGTGCTTACATGAATTATGCGCACTTGTGATCGTCAGAATCTCGCTGAACTTCCCTTCGGCATATTCTGAATTGTTACCAACCTCAGACGTCGTCTTCACCACAGGAGCGACTTTCCCTTCTCATCCACTGACATACTTCTAAAGTAAGGATCACCTATTATAAGACTATGTCCACATCTTTTTTCGTGAACTGTTTTGGCTACACTAACGATGGATTCGTCCTCATTGTAGTGTATAGGAAAACATGAAAGGCGGTCAGTGTATTTCGCACCGCAGAAATGAATCCCAAGATCTTTACACCTTGATACATTCACCTGGGCCTATAATTTTTCTCTCCATTCCATAATTGTAACGAGAGATCAGCAATTTATACGTTAACTACTGAGATTCAAGGTTCCGTACTCACTTCTTCACAACATAATACCTGTGTTGTCTAAGAATATTGATTTGTATACATGAGACTAGACAGAGTGCGGCCAAAAGCGCTGTGTGTGTCCACTGATATGGGGACTGCAGGTTGTCTAATGTTGTCTTCAGGAATAGACACGTTCATCACAAACGAATGAAACGTAAACAAAGCAGCTTTTTGAATTAAATGCTCAGGAATTGCCTGTGGCAATGTGAAAGTGACATGGAAATAGAAACTGATGTATTATTCCCTACCAATACTATGGTTTTGCTAAACGCCTGATTATGATCACAAATACTTACTGAACATTCGACAACTAGTGTGGACACAAGTTATAACATGAGGCTACATGGAAATCATTAAGATACTGGTGGCAGAAATGCATGCCAAGCATACTAGGCACGCCTAACAGTTTTTCTATGAAACACATTTTCATGCATCCTCCTACACTAGCGATGCAGTCGTACTTAGAACCGATGTTTGATGACTAACGAAGTCAACCTTGTTTGAGTCAAATTAACACTAAATCAAATAAAGCCGTAACACAACGGTCATCAGTCAGACAAGGAAAGAAAGGAGAACAGCAGCTTTGAAAAAAACGTATGGTCACTACAATATCGAAAGTCGGAATGCTCGGGCTACTCAGCCTTTCTATTTATACATATAAATTCATATTTTGCAAGTATTCACTATCATCTTGAGGGCCGTATGGCTTATTCGTGTGAAATATCACACACTCTTCTATTCCCATTCAACCTTATTATTTACAAGAACGTTTGATTCTCCTGAAGTAACTCACAGCCATGAGTGTATGCGATATTTGCCCGATTTATGTTTGAAGAAATGGTAAGTTACCAGTCGGGCACGTTTACCTGTAGAAAGAGAAGTGAAATTTCATATGCCAGTCCAACTCTGATGACAGATTTACCGTTTATCCCTGAAATGACACTACTGTGATGACTTTAGCTGAAAACCAACTGTTCCGAATGTACTCCCTTTTCTTTTCACTTCGAGTTTTCCGCCACTAGAACCTGCACTTTCCATGTTATATCACACTCAGAAGCTGAACAATCACTCATCAGCTGCTGACCACAGTGAGATTTTTCTCTTTTTTTTCAAAAATTTACATATTTTGCAATTAATCGCGTGAATATTATTGCTTAGCTTTTCGAACAATTAAGGAGTGAAAAGAGTAACTCTGGTCAAAGTGGTGTCACTGTCATAGCAAATCGTATACTACAAATCAAGTGTATTTTACCTCCTATACCACTTCAAATGGAGGCAACCAAGGTTACATCAAGACGTTATTGGGATGAACTGCCGAGAATCTCATTAAAGACTAGAAACCCTTATCCACTCCTCCAAAGGGAGCTCGAGAAAGCCAATTTTATTTTTACCAGACAGGAAGATGTTCGATAATAGAACTAAAAGTACAAATATTGGATGTTCATTCGGGCAGGTCACAGAGCGTAGATTACACCCTTGGTGGCCAGAACTTGAGTTGTGTTCAATCAGAGCGAGACCTAGGTCTTATTCTAACAGAAAAGCTAGACACCAGTAGAAATTACTCGAGGGACGTCGCCAAAGCCTACGCAACTTTTTACTTTATGCATAGGCAGCTGGGAGCTCTCACTTCCGAACTGTTCTTAAGGTTATATAAGGCATATGTGAGGCCACACCTTGAGGTGCATAATATCATTGCACCTCCGCTACTCAAAAGGGATGCTAACATTCTAGAAAGTGTCCAGAGACGAGCGACAAAATGGGTGATCGGCCTGCGCAACAAATCATATGAGGAACGACTAAATAAATTAGGTCTTTTCACACTTAGTTACCGAAGGCACAGGGGAGACCTCATCACCGTCTACCAAATCCTAAATGACCAGGCCCACCCAAATAAAAGCATCCTGCCATTAAGTGACTACAGGCTTCCACGAGGTAACCCGCTAAGGATAGCACACCAGAGACCAAAGACTCGAGTGCGATCACATTTCTTTTCGCTTCGTGTTTGCCGTCTCAGGAACGCTTTACCGGCGGCCGTGACTACAGCGCCTTCTCTGGAGATTTTTAAGCGGAAGCTAGACAATCATGCAGAAATGCAAGGTTTGTGTCTCAATGGCTTATCCTCATGAAATTTGAAACCACACTGTCAATGAATAAGCGTACAAACTAAATCCCCACGACCTATTCTGCCTTCTCTCACTCTATCTTTTCCTTAGGTCACCTTTATTATTCCAGTTATCTCAACCTATATTATCTACACTACAACCTATTATTATTATTATGATTATTACTATTCTGCTTTTATGACTACATCGAATGACCAACGGGAGTTAGGTCAAACTCCATTCACGGCAGCAATACAGTCCTAACATACTGCATACTACAAACCACATCTCGACCAATCCCCGCACCACTCCTCCTGGAGTCTACCAGAGCTAAAGCAGTCGAGTGGCGGGACTTACTACGCAGAAGCTCACCGAAGATCTGGAACCTCTACCTCACAATCAAGAAGCGAGCTCAAAGAAATCACTGGTTTATAATAGCTCGTAATCAGGATATTGGATATTGGATGTTGAATTTTGGTCATTGTTGGAATGTTTCCCCGAAATTTATTCTTACCTTGACGACGGCTTTGAAATTTTTTTAATTATTCGCTAAAAATGCCACTGTACAGCAATGCCAGGTTAGTTTGTAATCTGATAATAGTCTCCCCATTTGCATCACGCTTGAATAAAGAAACTTATTTGACACATTTTTAGTTTTTTAGAAGCTTACAACAGCCTCACAGACAAACACTTGGTACATTATTTTTCCACTGCTCGCATGAGAAGACACCTGCTTGATAATGGACTTGTAAGTCATAATTAGGTATATATTAGTAAACTACTTTATTTTTGTATCGAGAATCTATGAATTTATAAACCTGTGAAGAATATATTCGCATATATTCATAATAATGATAAATGTGTACGGATACAATTTCGAATACACTCAATTTATATCACTTTCCTTCAATGTAATGTTTATCTTTATTCTGAGTGATAGGCTGTTAAAACCATTAAATTGTTCCAAACAGAATCATTTGTACATCTCAATAAAAGCTGAATAAGTTTTTATTTTATTTTTTTATTTTTATTTTTTTGATTACAGCTTGACTCCACACCGTATTTTTGGTACAAGTGTGGAGTTTTCAGCGTGGATATCGGTAGGCCAAAATTCGCAGGCCGACCATAGATATCAGGTGTGCGTCGGCGTGGGCTCGAACCCCGGACCATGTGCATGGTCGGCGAGAGTCCTAACCACTGTGCCACTGACGCACAGTTCTTAAATCTCAAATAAAATGATCCTCTCTTATTTTTTTAAAACTCTGTTTAAGCGCAACACAAGTTTGTCATGGTGTAGACACTTGTAGAACGATTCGGAAGTGGATTACTAAATCAATTTATTTTAATTATTTAATAAAGTTATTTAGTGACTTCATTTAAGCTGATTTGAATTAGATTTTAGATTTAAATATATTGGTAGACGTTGGAGGGATTGGAGCATATGCTAATCCTTTTTCTAGTAAGTTTCAGTGGTTGTCGAAACCCTTCTTGAGTGAATCAGTTGAGGTTGCTGATACCACTTCTTCTGGAGGTCGGTTCCAAGATTTTATGACTTGATGTGAGTTCCAGTACTCAACAGCAATATGATTCCTTCTTGGCTTTTGAGCTCTCCTGCTATGTCCTCTAAGGTGTTCCGACCTGGTGGGAAGGGAAAGAGAGAATAGGTCAAGTCCGTAGTTATTATTTAAAATTTCAAACATCGTAATTAAATCTCTTTTCTGCCTACGGTTTGACAGTGAGAAGAGACTTAAACTTTCTAGTCTTTCCTCGTATGATAAATTAGTCATGCCGAGAATTATACGTGTTGCCTTCCTTTGGACCTTTTCTAGAATATGTGAATCCGCTTTAAGACAAGGACTGGTTGCCTGGTTAGAGTTTCCCAGTCTTGATCTCACCAGAGATGTATACAAGGAGGTGAACATATCTCTGGTAATTCTAGTAAAGGCTCTGCGAATTGCCCATACGGATCTAAAACTACTTGCAGCCACCGCGCGACAGTGCTGTAATTTTTAAATCGTGACTTACTATGACACCTAAATCCAGATGAATCTGAACTGTTGGGAGTGTTATTCCCTCTAGTTCATAGGAGTTGATGCTTACTTGTCCGATGCTCATGTTTGAACATTTAGCTACATTTATAAGGAGTATTGATTCTATGGACGACTGTGACAATTTCTTGAGGTCCTCTTGCAACTTGGACGTATCACTGTCGCCCTTCAGATCTCTCCAGATTTTTGAGTCATTTGCGTATAGGACCATAAGGGAATCGGTGAGCAGAGATAACTCGTTGAAAAACAAAATAATTAGGAGAAGTCCGAGTACCGTGCTTCGTGTCACTCCGCTACTCACTGCTGTCCAGGAGGAGAGTTTCGAGTTGATTCTAACCCTCGGCCTCCCATCTGTGAGGAATTCCTTAAGCGGGTTTAGTAACCTGCCAAGACTTTCCAACTTCGTGAGTAGTCTTTTGTGAGTAACCTTATCGAAGGCTTTGCTGAACTCTATGAAGATGATATCAACTGGTCTTCTGTTATCCCTTGATTTGACCCAGCTTTCTCGTTCAGTGAGGAGATTTGACTGGCATGAGAGGTTTCCTCGGAAGCCATGTGGTGCTCTGGATAAAAAAATTGTTGTTTTTCAGATATGCCATGATACTTTTCTTGATGATTCTTTCCAGTGTCTTGACTGAGGTACTGGGGAGACTAGTAGGCCTGTAATTTAAAGAGCTTTGTCTTGATCCTCCTATATGGATGGGGGTTACTATGGCGTCTTTCCAGTCACGCGGTAATACTCCATTTAAGAGAGAGAGCTTGAAGATCGTTGTCAAATAGCCGGCTATGTGAGCTGATAGCTCATTGAGAAGCCTTGGGTGAAGATTATCAGGACCCATCGACTTCTGTGCATCTAGTTTCATTAGTCAGTTGGTCGAAGTCGATGGAATCTTTCCTGTGTTCCTCTGATGCAGCCAGAGCTGATCCTGTGGGGAGTGACGACTCCTGTGTAAAGACTTAGGAGAAGTAGTCTGCCATTGCTTCTGTTTTTCCTTGATCTGCTTCGATTGTGTCGTTGTCAATAGCCAGGTTTGGGTCACCACTGGATGCCTTATTACCGAAGTTAATGTGCAAGAAAATTTTCTTAGGCTGCACCTTCGCATTTAGAGCCAGAAGTGCTTCGAATATCATCCTTGATTGGTGGATTTCTGCAACAGCTTTGTTCCTAGCAGTGCTATATAATTTCCTTGTCTCAGGTGTTTCAAGTGTGGCAAACAGATTCCAACATTTGTGTTTACGTCTGAGTAACTTACGAATCATTCGGTTTATCTAAGGGGGGCTATGTTTTCGACCCTTTGGGAAAAACCAAGGGATGAAATATTCAGTTACTTGGACATAAAATGTTTAAATTGGCTTATGCGGCTTTTAATTGAGACTATGGGTTGAAGTTTGGCAGGTTAACTTCGTTATCAGTGATATATCAGTGTGAGCCATGTCTCTGATGATGATGATAATTACATCCGGATTTCCTGGGTCTATCTTATTACCCAGTTCAGTCCGTTTGTTCAGCAGGCTGTGAGCGTTTGTGTAACAAACTATCAATTCAGTTTGGTACTTCAGTGGCCTACCTACAGAGGTTTCGGGATCATCAAACTTCGAACTATTACAACCCGAAAGCCCTTAATTTTAAGGTTTTTTCGTCGTCTCGGCATCGTTTGCTTAATTCCAGAGCCACAGACTATCTTTTGACACGGTCTGCTAGGCATAAGTCTACACGGATGTATATGCCTGATTCCTCAAGAGTTTGAGAGTTGCTTAGGATGGCATTCTTCTCTTCTTTGGAGTTTAGGACGACTTTGATAAGGCGTACCGGCTGATTTACTGTCGAGTCAGGCTTTTGGCCTATTCTATATAAACTGTATATGGTTATGCCTGATACTGTTGCTGGCGGTAACTTATCTTATAGGGGCTCGACCAAGTCAAGGTCATTCTCGAACCTAACAATGTGATCGGAGGCCGGTGATTCTCCCATTTTGTGGAGAATGAGCGACCTGTTAAAGAGATCAGGTTTGCTTACCGTGGCTTTCTTGTTCTGCGGCGTAAGTGTCTTTCCGTCCTTCGTGGACAGTATGGCCATTATGTTGTCCCTATCTCGCTTTTTGCGAGGGACTACATCACTCCAGTCATTGGTGTCCCCCTCGCTAACCGTGCTCAGTTGTGTGCCTGCTATCCACCGGTGTGGGTGTGGCATGATCTACAAGTCCCTGGAAGACTTTAGCTGAGGGTTTTCGACCTCTTCTTCCCATTGCTGTCAATGAAGGACTTATCCGCTTTCGTAGGGGTAGCATGAATGTTTAGAACATAGTGAGTGCCCTTTCGTGCTGTAGGGTACTCACTTCTTGACAGAGACACATCAGGAATGTGCATTATTTTGTCGATGACGCTAGTCACATCATCGGTGTCTGAGCAGTGGCGACTCTTCTCTTGCAATCCAGGAGCTTTAAAGCTCTACTGAGAGTGGCAAGGGATTCCGTTATATGATAGGATATATATATATATATATAACTATTAAGTGATAAGAACGCAGCTTCCTATAATTAAATAGACTCAAAACTAAAACGTAAACCAACTTCGATCAGAATAAACTGATTTAAAGTTAACCTGTAGACTTTTGGAGAGTATAACAATAAAAGCCAAAGCTAAACAACAGCGTTTAAAATTCCCTCCCTTTTCAAAGTCCACAGTACTCACCTGTTGGGGATTCGAATCCAGAACCTCCCGGTAGCGAGATGAACTCGTATATCACTCAACCACTGGGACTCAATCTAATGGGTTGAGAATTCCAACTCCTGTTAATTTGCCAGACATCTGGCGCAACCGCCAGACAATGTCATAAGCGAGTAATAACTGATCTCTTACTTGATTTTTAATGTTTACAGATAACAGAAGATGGTGAAGTTGTTCCAGAAGCAGAATACCGGGAAATACAAAATCGACAAAATCAAAAACGTGCATTTTTAGAAATTATTGCACATGCTATCGTTGAAAAATCGCTAGATGTTGAACGTATACGTCAGGCAAAATTAAAAAGAAATTTAGAAGATATATGTCGGTTGCATAGAGTTCAACGACTCAGAGTAAGTTTGTTTTATCATAGAGCACATTTTTTTATATATTTGGATTGTTTGAACTTAAACTAATCAATACTGTTATGAGCAAAGAGAAAATGAATCTAAAAATGTACACACACAAACGCACACTTCATCACAGGGGATTTCAATGCTGTAAATTTGTCTGTCCCTTCACATACCTTACCTCACACTTGATGGCATGAATTATGTTTTTGTAGCCTATACCTTTAATTGTTGCGCTTTGAGGTTTCTATAGCAATTGTATTGATTTTCTGGGATAGGGTCGTTAGCTACACGTATAAACTTCCCCCTTTTCAGGGGCTTATGACCGACTAGAAAACTAGCTGATTAGTTGACTAGGTGAGTAGCGAAACAGGACTTTAAGTAAACAAAGAGAAGGTGAACTTGATGAAGATCAACAACCATCAACGGCAACAAGTACCGGTCAATATCCTTCACTCATCTAGGAAGCATCGTTTCAACTACAAACACACAGCACAGATGATAATGATGATGTAAGAACCAGAATCGAAAAAGGTAGAAAAAACCTTTATCCTTCTGAAATCAATTTGGAAATCTTCTGCACTTCTTGGCATAAAGAAAAAGTCTAGACTGTCAAGACCAACGCAAAGTTATTCGTTTCTTCTGTATGGGTCAGAAACTTGGAGTTGGCGCCAATAAAAACATTTTCAACAGGCACCTCCACATGAATGCTTCATAGTGCTACAGAGAGTTCCTCACCATCGGACAGAAGGACTACCAATACGCCATCTCTACAGAGCTGAATCATTGGCTATTCGGGATCTGAAACTGAACCTCAGCATTCAAAAGCACTACATACATTTACTCGCCACCCTACTGTGGCCACAGTGACGTTCTTGCTATAACTTTGCTTCTTTTTTATTATTTCAGCTTATTATTGTCATTTTTGCTTTTTTATCACTATTATTCCCAGTATACATATTTTATGGTCACTTTATTACCTTATATTAATAAGATTGGATCTTCATACAGATTTTATAAAAACACTTTTATCGTCTTTCCACTAGTTCGTGTCCATTCTACACGAGCTTATTCACTAGTCGTTTTCTCACACTCATTATATCATGCCAACTTCTGCCTCTTTTCTAACTTACAATTAGTTATCCCTTCTAGGTTACACCTTACATTAAGTAATACATTTTTCGAAGACAAATTTCACCAGTGTCTGATTGGTCTTATGATTTCTTTGTTTAATATACTTACGATTGCACAACTCATGAAAATGTGAATCGTCGAAAAGAAAATTTTCTTCTCTTTTTACGTCTTTTTCTTATGACTCAATATGGGAATATTTTGTTCAACAAAGTTCGAATTGTCAAGACCAATGTAAATTCATTCAATTCCTCTGTATGCGTCAAAAACTTGGCGTTGGCGCCAAGAAAAACATTTCCGACAGGCTACCGTCGACTTTTATCAACAGCTACCACCTTCACTGGCTCCATACTGAAGATCAAATGACCAGTCGGAAAGAATTGGCAACTAGGAACTCTGGGAAGCTACCAGTCAAGAACATATTGCTCAACAAACATGACGAAAAAAGGTGGCGATAGTTCGAACACATGCTGAGATAACCATCGAATAATATCGCTCGCCAGGCCGAGCCTCGAGTGGAACAGTGGTTAGGACTCTCGCCGACCATTCATATGGTCCGGGGTTCGATCCCCTGCCGACCCACACCTGATATCTATGGTCGGCCTGCAAAATTTGGGCTACCGATATCCATGCTGAAAATTCCATACCTGTATTAAAAAATACGGTGTGGAATCAAGCTGTAATAAAAAAAAACTTGAGTAGGAGACAACGAGTTGGACGTTTAAAGGTGATACAGAGGAAGTGAAAGGATATGGGCTGTAGTGGGGCCACATGAAGAGGTCTACAGAGAACAGGGAGATGTGTGGACATACTTTTAGGCCCTACGTTGTTCTGCTTGGAGCCCAAGGGAATAATTATAATATGATATAAGTATATCTTTAATTCATGTCACTTGGTTGACATCAATTAACTTGTATTTTGTTGTATGTTAAAATTTTTATACCTCTGACACTTTGACTACTAATGTACAAGTATTCTGATCATTTTGTGCTTGGTGTCAGCTTTCAACAAGCGATATCGTACAGTGATTCTCTTAATTGCGGGGAACTGTAAACAATATTGTTGAACATTAGAACTGACTTATCATGGAGCGAATGAGGTGCAGGGATCTAATTTGATTGGTTACAGGATTTCATCATGAGTTGATATTGGTTAGAGAACCATTGGAAAACCAGTTGGGGTACTGAACAACCGTTTCTTCCTAGTTTGGGACTCTTCAGCAGTGCGTGCTCACCGCCACAGTTCGAAACCAGGACCTTCTGGTTACGAGTTGAAATGGTTCTCTAACCGATGTCAGCTCATGATGAATCCTGTAACCAATTAAATCAAATCCCTTCAAACCAACACGTGAATATCAATGTGATATTCAGGTAGGTAGCTACATGAGTTTTAGTGAGAAGTCGTAACTAGTGGGGTACAGCAGGTCGGCTGTGAGGACAGATACTCTCCAACAATGACTTTGGTTATTGGTAGTACTATATCGTGAAGGGGTGTACTTTTATTGATTTTCATTGATATTTCATATGGAAATCGAATCTGTGATAAAAACGAGTATGAACTTGTAATATGCATATTTAGTGGACAGATGTTTTGTTTTTACGAGCTGATCAAGGATTGATCTCAGTTAGAGAACCATTGAAAACCAACTAGAGGGTACTGGACAGATCTGTTTTATCTTAGTCTCTTGGGCATCATTGGCAGTACACACCTACAGCAGTGCCAGAGTTCGAACCCAGGACCTTCCGGTTACAAGGCAAGCTGGCTTGTATACCATTCGGCCACTGGAACTCGACTACTCAACGGCCAGTTCATGAATTCCGACTTCTACCAATTCGTGATTTTAGTGCGATCACCAACCAACGTCATCGGTGGGAACTCCATCCCTAGTTTGCAATAGTTCTTTAACCGATATCAATCCATGGTTAAACTCATATAAGCAGTCTAATCCTTACAAATCAAACTCTTGAAAATTAATCTGATGCTCGCTAGCGACTTGCTGCAGAACGGAGTTTCCTGGAATTCTAGTGAGAAGTTGTGACCAGTTGTGGTCCGACCAGTCAAGTGTGAGGATGGAGTTCCCACCAATGACATTGGTTGGTACCAGTCGTGCCAAAACCACGAATTGGTAGAAGTTGGAATTCATGGACTGGCATTTGAGGAGTCAGCTCCCAGTGGCTGAGTGGTATACGAGCTAGCTGGCCTTGTAACCTGACGGCCTGGATTCGAAACCTGTCAGTGGGGTGGATGCGTACTGTTGATGATTCGCAGACTAGGCTGACGAAACAGCTGTGCAGTATTCCAGTGCTGGTTTTCAATGGTTTTCTCTAACTGATATCAATTTGTGGTCAAACCCATATTAACGAGCTTCATAATGTTTCCAAGCCTCAACATCTTCCTAATCGAGAAATTTTTTCTGATATAAAATTAGTTTGGAAAACAACGATTGAGGGTGATCAAATCAAAACATGACATCAGTCCATCAAGTCATTGCCTGTTGGTTTAAACTATTTAGAGAAGTATCGACTGTCTGGCTACGGTCTTTGAGACGTTAAGTACTAATGGCTTTAGGCTGTTAGTATGTAGCTGAAAATCGTTTTCGATGGTGCAGATACATCGGCTCTTAGATCCATCAATATTCTCACGATTATTCACATAATTTTTCATTCTGCATAATTTATTATTATGTATGGCAACCTGAATTGTCGCGTAGTTATGTAAACTTTTACGTTCAAAAATAACGTACTCTTTGCAGAAGGGACTGTTGAATGATAAGTATACTTCGAGAATTTATTATTATTATTTTCTCTTGGGTTCCGAGTGGAATATAGGCCTTCAACAGCCAACTCGATTCTCCGCAGTCCTCTTTAGTCGGTCCCAAGATTGCTCATAATCTCTCATCTCCTTCACGTCACCATTGGACATCGAAATCACTGTTACCCATACGGGTTCCACTTGAGGCTCTTCCTAGCGTGCGATAGCATTCGATAGTCGCCAGACTTTCTTGATGGTTGGTTTATCTGATCTTCCGAAGAAGGCTGTTCATGCAAGTCTGTAATAGCTTGTAGGAAATGTCTTTGAAGATGTCCGTGCGCGCCAAGATTTTGAACCACATAGAAGCTGTAACTGACTGACTGACTTAACATTGGTGTTGAAAATCTCATTTTGTTTTTTATGCTTAGTGCAGGAGACTTCTATACTAATTTCAGAGGGATGAAGGTCTCCCTTACTTTTCCCATCTTACCTTTGATATACTCATCTGTATGGCCTGTTGTTATGTACTTGTCGCCAAATTATTGTTATGTACTGGTCGAGAATTTAATAGTCCTGACGCAAGAAGGCGGAAATCAGAAGACCACTAGGTTTGCGATGATACTTCTATTTTCCAAACACAAGGAGAAGCAATAAGTGGTATCACACCAAAGTAAAGTAGTCACAAGATTGTGAGAACGAAATATATATAAGTGTGAAAAATATAGTAAAAAATAAATACATATTATTCTAAACCATTATTATATATAGGATAGAAAAAAAACCTGTAGTTGAAACGATTGTGCTCAGATAAGCGAAGGAAGTGACCACTTTCGATCTTCTGTTGATAGGGATTAGTACTTGCTCTTGTTGAGTTGTTATCATCATCATCATCATCACCTCCGTCTTCTCTATGTACACTTGAGATAGTGCCTTCACCGTCTGCGTCTCTGTCCCCCCCCCCGAACTTGTTGATTTTCATCTGTAAGCCTTCTGGATTGTTTGACATTAGACATAAATTGTCCTCGAAATTCAGGTCTTCTCCTCGCGTCTTCTTGTCGGTTTAACATATTCCTGTCTTACCGATCCCCCACAATCTGTTGCAGGATCAAGTCCGCCGCACTGAGAAATATCATGGGTAAGGGTGGTAGGCAGCCTCATCTAGTTTCTACCTTTATTTCTAAAGTATGGTTGAGTTTTCCGTTGAGGATCACTTGACATGCAGCATTGTCAGATAGCTATTGAATGAAGGTGATAAAGATTTCGGGCACTTCATAGTGCTGAATTCGAAAACATCGCCTTGATTCATAGTGTGGGAATGAACTTTTGGATGACTAGTGCCTCGGCTATGCCCAGATGTCTCAATTTCACTCCTTTTGATAGGTTCGATCGAATCTTGTATACTATTTTAAAGGATTTTTCGAATGGCGTTGAATGTCCTGAGTTGACCAGATGTCCTGTCACTGAACTATATACACGCTTTCATTCTCCTTCTACTAGTCCGGCTGGATAGTGTTCTTGAGCGTGTTTTCCAAGTCGGCGCATGGTACGGCGGATGTACTCAGCTCCGCGTGGGCAAGTAAACTGGTATATGCACGTTGAAGTGGCCCAATGTGACAGCTTGTCTTTCACGTTCTGGCTGAACAGTTTCTCGCAGGAAAACATAAGTCGTAAGCTTGTGGTGAAGTATGTTTTCCTCAAAGATTTGCAGAGGCGTTTCCGAAGGATTTCTGCTTCAATGTCATCTTTGAATTCAAGATTAAGCAGAAGCATCTTCTTCGGGACAGATTGTACTTGTTCAGAAGTCTTCTTCGATTTTGAATTCTTGTCTATGAACCTAGGTGGAAAACTGTTTTCCATCGAGGTTCCTCTGAGATTACGCAATTCTTCGCCAATCACCTCCTCGCTGCATATCTTCCGAATTCTCAAGGAAAAAGCGTATATAAAGTTCCCCTTTCTGCTTAGGGACACGAAGCTTTAAAAGTTGATGGATTGTCCATTTCATATAGGCTTTTATGTACATGGACCTTTTCAGAGAGTTGTCGGCGTTTCTTGTGAGATGGACGTTGAAGAAGTGGAGCAACCTGTCGGATTTAGCTTGAAGAGTAAAGTCAATGTTTCGGTGAGCATTGTCGAAGGTTTGAAGTATGTATGAAAGTATCATCAATGTATCTCTTCTAAAAGCGAAGAATCTCTTTATATTACATTATTTTCTTATTTTGTATTCCACAGGAAGAACGTTCAAAACGTTCAGAAGAAACCTTACTCTCACAGTTATTTGGTAAAAATAAGAGATCTGGTGAAAAACTTCAACCTATTATACTATATTCTGCAGGGAATATGGTAAATTTCTGCTTGTTTTTTAATTTCCTTTTTGAAGAATGAATTACACATTCATTTGTTTATTCCTCAGTCTCTCTTGATATGTTGGCTCCTAGTCTCGATACTTCGACGATATCAGGATAATAACTTACTGTTATCTGGTTGATTGTGGCTAGCAGTGAAATTCTGGACGCTCATTTTATCCTATATGATGTTCATTAACTGTGTATATCTGCATCTCTAGTGACTGAACGGACAAAAAAAATAGATAACTACAAAACTGCCTTATCTCCAACTCCTTAATGAGAAAAAATAACTGTTTGATATTTAGGGAATACCTACGGTTGACTGCAAGACTCTTCCTGAACAAAGCGCATGGAGTAAGGTTCAGTTAACTGTAGAAACAGTGGTAAGGACTGTTGATAACTTGAAACCAAGGGTTTTTAATCACCAGTAGATTTATACTGCTTTATCCGAACTTGTAGACACAAGAAGATTGATTCCCGGTGAGCTTCAAATATAATGAAAGGCAAAATCTATTCACATACCAAGCTGACGAGAAGCTTTCGGAATCACTCTAAATAGTGGTGAACAATAAAAGCGAAAGAAATGTGAATGGAGTTGTCAGTAGGCAACACCAGACAAGTATTTAAACTCACTAGGGAAGCAGGTTGTAAAAATCAAATGCTAAATGATTTACCCAAAAAAAGTGTCACTTTAATAACCTCACAGAATAAATGGCTAAAACGTTGGACGAAACACTTGGAGAAGCAATTGACTGAGTTAACTAAGATATTAGCTAATATCTGAGAATTCCATTATGGGTAGAATTTGTTCTGATAAAGTCTCACAGTGTTAAACGGTAATGTTAACTGATGGTGTTTCGAGCACAATTTATTGCTCATAATCAGAGCTTGTCCTTGAGTAAGCTTGTAGGCTTAAATGCCAATCTAATTCCTGCTTTATTAAGTTAAGTGTCTAACAAACCGAGCAGTAGCACTAAGTAGTACAAGAAAAGACCTAAATGATGAAATGAAACAGACAGAGAAAGAATAGCTGGTTGGTGTCGAACAACTATCCTATAAAATCCATTAGGAGATGGTTAAAATTCTAAGAAGTAATCTAGGTAGGTGGAGAAAGAGGTTATTGAATTGAATTTTTGATTTTCCCGTCGATTGATTGGACCGAGTCCCAAATAGGACGAAATGCGCATCCTGGATTCCACTGCTAGCCACCATCCACCAATTGGAGAAAGAGGTTGATTACTGAATCCCTGTTCATTGAGTCTACACTCAACACGTGCAATTGAATGCGATGACTCATCACTAATACCGGAAATATGGAAAATACTACTACCAAACAAATCAAGAGATGGAAAATAATGATGGAATTATATAAACGAAGTCAAAAGTTGTGTGAGTACTACCTTGATATGATTATGAGCAGCAATAAATTGTGCTCGAAACATGGTCATCAGTTAACATTACTGTGGAACACTGCGAGACTTTATCAAAACAAATTTTACCCTTTCATCGACAAAAATCCAAGTTACATTAGTAGAATGTACAATTATACTTCTGATCGTATTTCTCCGATCTTCTGCCAATCAATAGACAATTAAGCAATGATAGTCTTCTTGTCTCCCGCCAGATGGAGACCAATTCGAACAAACAAACAACTTACTGTTCATTAACACTGACAGAAGAAGGTTGGGAAATCTTCGTGTGATCATCGCAGGGGGATTAGTCTGAATAACATAGTATCTAAAATTCTGCGTTCAGTAATCATGTATAGACTTATGCGGCATTTGGCTCCCCATCGAATAAGAGGTGCTGTAGTAATATTTTGCTGTAAACGGATTGCCGTAAAAGTTTATCGCACTAATCAGAACATTCTACTCAAACTCACTTAGCCGTGTAAAAGTCTGTGGAGAGCTTTCATCTGAAGTGATGACAACCAGTGGTGTTCGTCACGGGTGCCAAGCGTCTCCATATTTTATATGATTTTATCATAGATGTACTAGTGCATGTGGTCCTAAACGAATTTACCGACTTGTTTCCAGCAAACAGTTCCGTTGATCCAAAGTATGCAGATGTTATAGTCCTTATATGTAAAGATGCTGACAAAATGTAGAGTCTTTAAAACATCTTCAGCAGAAATCTCTGAATGTCAAGCAAGCGATTCACCGGGAATTTAACCCTGAACCACTACTTGTGACGTGGTTATTGAGCGGTTGAAAATATTTGAACAAAGCAAGAACTACAGTTTTAGCAGAATAAAATGGTACCATCTTTTATTTCGTTGCCTTCTCGTCAGCTGCTTACATGGCAAAGACATTATTAAATATATCTACAACAACAATTTTAACATACTTGCACAGAGTTCAGTTTAAACAAAAATCAATCGATCAATATACGCATACACTAAAAATATATACATATATAAATATGCAATACTAACCACTATTCCGAACAATAATAATCAAACACAATGGAAACTTTTAGCATTTCACATTCGGAGAAAAGAGAGGTGAAATTATCCAGTTACCAGGGCAAAGAAAGGCTGATAACCTCTTCTTTCTGGACGCATAAATCAGGTTTCATGCGCTTGATGGAAATGGCTTCAGCAAACTTAAGGAGAATTGAGCTATTTTGCTTATTGATAATTTTGAACGACTTGTCAACGTCCACCTCATGACCCGTGTCGAGAAGATGCCTGGTGATGGCACTGTTTAAAGCATTTGTTCCCTTTAGACGTAAGCTTTTTGGTACATGTTCAGAAAATCGTAGATATCCCCTTCTTTCTGTCCTTCCAATGTAACTGCTCCTGCAGATACATGTAAATTTGTATACACAGTTGAAAGTAACATGAGAAGGATATCTATCGATTTTTGATTGCACCAAAGAGCAAGTTGTTCGATAGACGGGAACGAGCTTAGCTGCAGGATAGGCTATGGCTAGTGATGTACTCAGCCTTCTGTTGATCATCGCTGCAATATTTTCGCCTTTATAATCAAGCTGAAGGTAGACTGGCTTTTTTTCCACTGTGATTTGTTTTACTTTTGTGACTTCAGATCTTCCATACTTGTTGATGAACCTTTGAGGATACCCATTTCTCTTCAATATATTTTCAAGGAACTCAAACTCCTCGTCTAGTTTCTCTGTAGAGCATATTCTCCTCGCTCTATAGTACAAAGTTTTGACTAGACCACGTTTAAAGCTATGTGGACAAAAGCTATTAAAATGCAAGTAAAACAATTATTTATTTAACTCTGAATATTTCAGGAGCATCAACTCAATATCTCTGATACTGACAGAAGAAGGCTGTCGACTAAAAAGGATTCTTTCAAGAAAAATCAATTCGACAGTCTATACGACGCTTTACTTCGATCGCAACAACAGAAGTTCCTGTTTAAAAGACTATCAAGTTGTTCGCATAAAAATTGTAAGAAACAATCCAACATATTGTCAAAACGTTCAAGGCATAAATCATCACGTGAAACTGGTGATAGAAAAGAAGACAAGCCTATGGTAGCTGATTTTTATAATGCTGAAGAAGATGCAGTAGAGGCGAAAAATGCTGGAAGTGATACAGTCATACAAGATGGTTGTGATTCTAGAATTAGTCCAGATCAAGGTATTGTTAAAACAGTCAAGAGAAGAATGTCAACGGATGGAAAACTTAAACCAGCGATACACGAAGAAGTGAAACAGGTATGTATATGAGTTTTGAATAATAGTAAAATAAAATTGCTGCACAATAATGCATCCCAGTAACTTTGATAATGAATTGACTGCAGTTTGGGAAACCACTGAAAATTATCAGCGATTACTGGTTTAAGACTCTTTAGCAGTATGTACCCGACAAAATACTTGGGAATTATTCTAGTCCTCATAAGTGATTAACTTCAGAACGAAGCTGACTGATGTTCATGTGGGATTTCGTGATCAGCAGGCTCAAGCAAGTTAGGTAGGTGTCAGGAGAGATACACACCGATGATATCGGCTGATGGTCGCACCATATCACCACTGGATTCCATCCTAGCTTTGCAACCCAGTGAGGTCATAGGCGCGTGCTTCTGAAGAGTATTAGAACAAAGACTAAGCACTACAGTCCAGTCAGTAGTCTATGGTTTACAGTAGTTTTCGAACTACACTTAAATCATGATCGAAATTAAAATTAACCGAATCCCTGCACACCAACCCTTGAAAATGATTTAGAAAAAATAAATAAAATGGCGGATACCTACCAGAAGGTCTTGGGTTGAAACTCCGGATAATGGTGAATAGCTCCAAACTAGGTTCAAAACAGCTGTACAATACTTTCTGGTCATTCCCAATGGTTTTCTAACTAACTTACTTGAATCGGTGATCAAACTTATGACAAATTGAATCTTTACAAACTAACTCATTACTGTAAAGGTACGACTTAAATACCATTAATAGAGAGAAGACCAGTAGTTCAGCGAAGAGTCTGTTTTCAGCGGATTCATTTTCACAGCTGTGCAATCGCAAATATATATGGTTTTTCTGTATATATATATATGTGTACACTAAATTTGTCAAACGAAAATACAATTAGTAAGTTGTTGGTGAAGTTACATAATACAAAAAAGAGTTCAAAGGAATTGGATATTAATACAAAAGGGTAATAACAAAAGTGACGAGTCGTCAGAAACGATTGTTAAAGAGGAGTTACGCAACAACATGAATAGTTTGGTGAAAGAGTTGTGCTCAGGGTGTACAGGGAAACAAGATAAAGTACAGAATTACGTAGGGGTTTTAATTGGTTAGAAAAACAAGCAAACAAGCAAAAAATTGAGTCATATGAACAGATCAATTTTCGAGCATTGGTTTCGTAGGGATTTTATTTGATTGGTTGGAGGATTTCATCATGAGCTGACATCAGTTAGAGAATCATTGAAAGCCGTTTTGGCAGTACTGCACAGCTGTTTCGTAAGAAGCCGTGACCAGTGGGGTGTAGCAGGTTGAAGATGAGGCCAGTAACTCATCGAAGAAGACCTTGTGAAGTGGTCGCGCTATGTCATGAATTTGCATAGACTGGCCATTGGATAGGTTCCCAGTGGCTTAATGGTCTATGAACAGCTTGCTGGCCTTGTAACCAGAAGGTTCTTGGTTCGAATTCTGGTGGTGGGTGCGTACTGGTGAAGAATTCCAAAGTAGGCTGACAAACAACTGTCCAGTACTCCCAGCTTGTTTTCCAATGGTTCTCTAGCCGATGTCAGTTTATAATGAAATCCTCCAACCAATCGAATCAACAGAGTTATTACCGAGATAGTAAAAATGGTTGGATAATTTTCTTTTGCATGCATAATTCTAGTTCTTCTAACTGAATGGCTATGGATTCTGCAATACAAAGAAGACGAAAGAGTATTGTCTTTGGCAGGTTGTTCTTCACTTTGTAAAAAACTTTGAAGCTGAAGGCGTTTGTTGAGACGGAATGACCAGTTGTGACGAGATGTTCGATCATTGCACTCCTTATACAGCCACTATTTCTTTCTACAACCACGATGGATAGTGACGTTTAACTCTTTTGGAGAGGATACGCATAGAACGATCAGCTGTACCTGGCTGGTTCCACAGCAACCGGTGAAGTGATATATACACATAGAAGTCGTCAGGTACTATATCTTGTCCTTTGGCTTCTGTAGATCAACGGGCGACTGAAGAACACTACTATTAGTGTTGCCGCGAAGGAAGTTCTTCTTAAAAATAGTGACTGTACAGCTGTAAAAATAAATTCGCTGTAAAGGGAGTCTCTTTGCTGAACTACTGGTACTCTCTCTATTTCACTATCATTTCCTTACTTTCTAGTAATATTATCAATAAAATATTAATATTGTGAACACTGCTCATACTTCTAGCGTCATTATGGCTTTTAACAGATAACCTTAAATTCTAAGGTTATCCACCTACTCTTTTTATTTAGTTCATTTAAAGAACTTTACTACAAAAAAAAACGCAGTGAAATTAGTAGGGCACTTTCTTTTGCTTTATTTTCGAAGTACACTTTTGAGCCTGTCATCTATTTACCTTATATTATAAATTTTTAATCGAACTCTAAACTAGGCAGGAGGGGGTGATTTATTTTGGTTTCTATTCTCTAAACTTAAATACCTGTTAGCATCTATATAATAATAATAATTATTATTTTTTACGACTTCACCACGGACTGAAATCAGTTAGAGAAAACCAGACAGGGAGTACAGGACAGCTGTTTCATCCCACTAGTTCGGGAGTACGCACCCACCCCACCGCCAGGGGTCGAACGCAGGACCTTCCGGTTACAAGGCTGGCAAGCTCGTATACCATTCATCCATTGGGACCCGATTAAATAGTTCATGAATTCTAACTTCTACTAATTCGTGATTTAACGTGACCTTAACCAGTGTCATCAGTGGGACATCCATCCTCACACGTGACTAGGTGGATTTCACTGAGCACGACTTTTCACTAGAATTCCAGGAAACTCTATCCTGTAGCAAGTCACTAGCGAGCATCAGATTAATTCTCTGTCCAGTTCTCCTTGGTTTCCAATGGTTCTCTAACTGATATCGATCCGTGATCAACTCGTAAAAGCAAAACTAAACCTTACAAACCAACTACAGAGAATAATAATGCTTATTATTATTCAAAGGTAGTGAAGAATGATTTTTTAGACTTCTTATAGGTGCATAGTTGTATTTCAGTTTTTGCTAACTCACAGACATGCAGAGGACGAAGGTGCCTGGTGTGAAAAGTTGTGACCAATTAATGGCACACGTCAGGTTGGATATGAGAACTACTATGAGCACCGATAACATTGGATGGTGGTCGTGCTAAAAGTGAGAATTGATGGAATCTAGAATTGATAGGCCCAAGTGGCTGAATGGTCAACGGGCTTGGATTTGTAAAGTGAAGGCCCTGCGTTCAACCCCTCTCGGCGGGGGGGGGGGTTAAATGCTGCTGTAAAGTCTCAGACTCCTTGATATTTTTCAGTAATCCTCTAATTGATATCGACCTGTGATCAAGACTGAAGAAATTCAAATGTCTACAAACTAACTATTGAAAAAATATTTTAATGGTTTCTGGTGACTGGTTGCAAGATAAAGTAGTCTCGAGTTTTAGTCAAAAGTCGTTACCAGTGATGTCCACTAGGTTGGAAGTGAGGAAAATTACTCGCCAATGATGACCGTGGCTGATAGTCAGGCTAAATTAACGAAGTGGTAGAAGTTGGAATTCATGAGCCACTTAGTCGGGTTCCAGTGTCTGGTTGTTCACGATCTTTCCTTGTAACCTGAATGCCCTGGGTTTTAGCCCTGGTAGGCGAGTTCTGTTGATGAGTCCCAAGATGGGATGAAACTGCTGTTCTCTATAGTCTTATTTTGTAGCTGGCTCCATAAGTGTTCATAATCTTTTATCTACTTCTCGCACACTCTGCTCCATATTACCCATGGACTCACTTACAATACGTCGTTCCCTATTGTCCTACATTCCAGTTGCCTGGAGCGTAGTGTTATTCGACCGTCTTGTTAGCGTATATCGAATCCATATCCCGTTTCTTGTAGATATTTATTGGGACATAGGTACTTGGTTGCTCGGCTTCCTGCCAAAGTCTCATGTTGTTTATCTTTTCCGACTGCCTATCTAATCTTCAGCGTTGGACGATATAAGCTGTCGATGAGAGTTTTGCGGGCAGTTTGAAATACTTTGAGGTAACAATGCGCTCGTCAAGTCTCCAAACCATACTTAGCAACAATGGTACTAGTAAACATTTAAGAGGCGAGAAAATACATTTAGGTCAAGTTAAAAGAACACACTGAAGGTCAAAATGACACTGATGATCATTAAACCAAATAACAGAGGTAATAGTACATCTACCCTGGCTGGTGTCAAAGGAAAGTTTACCAAGTAAGGTAGGTTTAGTGTGATGAGGAATTGTTGCTTTGAACGCATAAAGGGCTAGGGCTTCCAAAAACTTTAGGATACGCCCCAAATACGTGTGGAAACATCAGTTTTATATCCTGTCTCCTCTATAGTATGCTTCGCAATAGAGGAGCTAGGTTGTCATCTGTTCTCACCATTAATGGGTTCTGAAGATTCTATTTGCTTTTGAAGCCACTAAGGAGAATATTCTCTGATACCAGCCCTTACGTGCTGAGATCGATGAGTTCTCCCTATGCATATGTGTGTCCACAGGTACATTCAAATTGGTAAACACAGTGGGATATGACATCATTTTTTGCATATTCAAAGGGCTTAGATGGATATATCGGTTTCACATTCTCAATTATTATGTTATTAGCTGCATAAAAAGTCTTTCTAACAGCAACGTTCAATCTCTGTCTAGTTTTTAAACTGCGATGATCACCCATATAGGGTAACTTGATGTACACGTCTTTCTTAACGACTATCAGATTGAACAAAGAAAGAAGAAACGTTGGCGCAGAATAATCTGGATCCATTTTATTTCGTTGGTTCTCATCAGCTGCGTACAACGTGAATTTTCCAATAAAATCAAAATAAAAAGTGTACAATTTCAACAAACCTTTGTCCATTACCAAGCATACTGTCAGAGCGTCATAGTAAAATAAGGCGTTGAGATTTACAGGGTGTCTAAAGTGTTATGACATACATATATATCTTGGTAGAGAGAAGTTTCTTGAAAAAAATTTAATAACAGTTGTGTTGTTGGGTTGGTAACAAAACAAAAC